AGCTGGCGGCGAAGCTCATCTAACTCCGCAGGAGACATCCTATAGATTCGTCCTCTAGGCACCTTGCTACCTGGGACAACCTCTATTCCATGGAAAAACTCCCTTTCCACCACGCCTGTGGGCTCCTAAAAAAGGTCTGAATATTGTGCGACGACTGATTCTATCTCTGGGGGTGTTTTAACGGCCTCCCCTTTCTCAGAGACAAATACTAGATACATGCCCTCCTCGCGATTCTGCTTATAATAGTTATAGAAGGATGATGCACACATGCACCCGTAGTTTTCTATTAGACTGCTAACTTTGAACTTTTGCAATCTAATAGATCTACTGTTGGGCAATTTGTGAATCAATACCTTTCTATCCCAGTCAAACTGCGGTTGCACGACCTCGAGGTAGTACATACCTACGTGCATATCAAAGGGCAGTTCGTCGCTAACCAGGAAGGAGCTTTTATGACTCACTTCCCCTCCTCCATAGGAGAAGGTGCAGACTATGTCCTTGACATAGTCTTTTACCAATATTTGGTGCTTGTTGGCCAGCGTAGAAGCTACAGTTCTGCTAAGCCGCTGCACTTGGTCCCCTAAGCGCAGTCTATCCACACAAGCACGACTGATGAAATTTCGCGTAGAGCCTATATCAGCGAAGGCGCCCACTTTTCGGCCACCTACATCAACTTCTACCACGAAATGTTCACCCTTTGGAACTCTACTTATCATCGCCCAAGAGTCCTTGGGGTCCTTCCCTGACCACTCAGTCTCTAACTCCTCTAGGGCCTCAAACACATCTCTCGAAGAGAGCGTCGGTGGGTCCGAATGTGTGTGCGGGGCGATACGTGGGTCTCTAGCCTTGGCCAACGCCTGAAGTGGGGAAGGCAACGTTACCACTTCAGCACAAGTAAGAGCGGCTAATACTCCTACTGGCCCGAGGTGTTTCCCTGCGAAGTGCTCGCAGAAGCACCGCCAGAATTCGAAGAAAGTCCCACCACCGTTGGTGAGGCTACCCTCGTCAAGACTTTCTTGCCTCGGCACATTCTAGACGTGTGGCCATAATTGCCACAATTCATGCACGTGCCCCTAGCAACTCGGTCTCTCCACACCTCATATTCTAAACCAAGCTTCACCCAGGCAGGTGTGCCTTGGTCGCCCTGACCCGTGGACCGTACTACCTTCTTCTTCCCGGTTCCCCTAGCCTTTTCCTTGATGGGTGCCACACTCCCCCATCTGAAGTCTCACAAGCCCCATCTTGCTCTGTCACCTCCCCAAGGTCTGGGAAATCGTCAATCTCTGTCGTTTGACCATCATGGTCAACGAACATCAACTGACCCTTCTTCTTCCAGTCCTGGGGAAGTCTCTTCCTACCATCATGAGATGCCTGATGCGCGGATCCCAACTTTGCCTCTATGTCCAAAGCTTTCTTACTAAAAGTAGTGAAGCTGTGTTGTTCGACATATGCCTCATCAACCAGCTTGGTCCTTACCTCTATAGGTAGGCACCTTAGGTAATCCGTCAGGAGAACCTGCTGGTCAAAACGCACACCAGGTACCACGAGCAAACGTTCTACGGTGTCCATTAGCTCTCTAACATTCTTGAGCCTGCGGGAACAAAGATTGTTGATAGCATCGGTGGCCTTCTGAGCCCCTTGCGGGTCATGCCACCTGTTATACACGGACCGTACGAACTCTTCCAATGTCTGGGCCTGTGCCCAAGCATCGAAGTTTTGACCGTAGCCCTGCTGCTGCACTAAGCCATTCAACCAGTGAGTTGTTGACCCTTCTAAAAAGGAGGCAGACACTACAACTTCCTGCTCTGGCCTGGTGAGCTTGTGCCTCACATAAGTAGGCACATTCCTCACCTAGGTGTCTAAGTCCTCATCCTTCTTCCTATCACCAGAGAAGGGCTTGGGACTCATCAAAGGTATCTTAGGCATCCACTGCATAGGCTGCATGGGCCCAGGGGCTTGCTGCAGCGGCTGCATAGCCACTGAAACAGGTTGTTGCACACTAACCTGGGCCTGGCTTGACAGTGGGACTGTAGTAACCACTGTCGTAGATGGTACGACTGAGACTCTATGAACCGGACCACTAGTTGTTACTAAACCACCTGGAGGGGGTATGCCAAACATAGGAGAGAAAGTTGGCCCTGTGTGTTGCGGCATCGATGAAGGACCCGCACTTGCAGGGGGAACTACAGCAAACTGTGGCTGCCTCATCATTGTACGAGGAGCCCGAAGTTCAGCTAGGATTTGTTTCTGACCTGCAACCAATTCGGCCAGCAATTCCTGGTGGACATGCCACCGATACTAAAGCATTACGCAGCACACGAACAGCAGGGTCTAATGCCGCCTCATCTAGTCCTTCCAGTCTGCCTAGCTCCTCTCTTCTACTACCTAGTCTAGCTTTTCTCAGGATTGTTTTTCTTCTCCTCTCTGCTCCCTCGTCCAACTGCCGCTGTAGCTCATCCTGAAGTTCTTCTGCTTGCCGGATTTCTAAGTCCTCCGGCGTGAGTTGAGTCTGTTGGCTGAATCGCAAGCTAGCAGTCTGACTAATGGACCCCTGAGAACCACTCTGACTAACTCCTGACAAAGTGGACTGTGAAGAGGTTTGCGACATGGTAGAGGAAGTAGCCATGGCTGCACCGGTGCTAGCTGAAATTCTAGTCTTGGCACTATCCTCAACTGCCCTTACTCTCCTTGCCGCTGCTCTCTCTCTAGCCTCTCTCCGCAATCTTCTCTCGTCTCCTGGACCTAACTCCAAGAATGTCAAGGGTCGACTACGGGCAGTCCCACGAGTAGTCCTGCGGTCGTCCATTAACAACTCCTCCTCACTAGTGCTTGCATCACTCATGAGTTACAGTGTGTGTGATCTAAACTAGAATCCACATTGAATCCTACCTTAGCCTGACACACAACCAATTATGAATCACAACTAATTTCGGTCGAATGGAACAGAAACAGTTAGGTGATATAGTAACAACTAATGTCAGGTCCTACAGGATATATTAAATCTATTTTTAGATTACCCTAGAACAGATTGCAATACAACAAAGATCTAATCTGTCTGTAGCTGTCTGTCAGTTGTTAGTCAAGTTTGTAACAACTAGATAATCAAAAAAAAAAATAACATCTCCTGTTGGAGATGTATGCTTGATGGCAGATTGTCTGTTGATTGCCACTGCAAACAGTTACTGGAATCCCCCCCCCCCCTTTATCCTTCTTGAGTGGTCACTTTTTGTCGACGCCCTGAGCATCTGGTTGAGCAGCGTGTCTGAAGGTGTGCAATCCGGCCCACCCCTGTGCCCCAAGTCAACGCCGAACCTGCCAGCCCCTGCACTTTATTTACCCTCGCATGCAATGAGCCTTACACCCGGTTGATCTGGCTGATCAGGAGGGATTTAAGGAGAGCCCCCATCTCCTCAGGAATTATTTAACGTCGCAGACAGGACGGCGATCACAACCAGATTCAAGTCCGAGTCCCCAGCCAGAAATGTTTAAAGACGGTCTGGTAAGCGTTTGTCAAAGGGCTGGCATGCCCTGCATGACCTCTATTGTGCAAGCAGCAGAACCAAGGACTTGCGGCAAAGCATGCGTGTACTAGTCCCAACGGGTTGGCATGGTGACCGTGACCCGAGTGCTTCGTCCAGGGCCCTTCAGAGGCTTCACCCGTCTCCCACCAGCTTGCTGCCCAAGAAGAATGTCGACTCTCAAGGTTGAGCGCTCGCGACACCTCACATCGAGAGGACCCTCAAGACAGAACTCACTTCCTCACGGTAAGAAGTAACAAAGAGGGTAGATAAGGAAGAGAGCAACGTAGCCCATAAATGCCGCCCCCAACCACAAATTTCTCACCGGCAACCTGATGTGCAATTATGATGACCGGTCTTTGCCACGGCACAAAAAACAGCAGAATGCGGTTCCACCTCAGCTTAATATGCCACATCAGCGAGCTCTCATCATCCAGCATACACCCCGTATGTCACCACATAGCTCCCTGGCGCGCCCATTCTACCCTGGGCCACCTGATGTTCAACGCCAATGCC